AATTAAATCAAGAACAGACAAACAACTTAAATAGACCTATAACCCGAAATGAAATAGAAGCAGTCATCGAAAGCCTTCCAACGAAAAAAAGTCCAGGGCCAGATGGATTCAGTGCAGAATTCTACCAGACATTCAAGGAAGAACTAATACCACTACTCCTCAAACTGTTCCACAAGATAGAAACAGAAGGTTTATTGCCAATCTCTTTTTATGAGGCCACAATAACTTTGGTACCCAAACCTCACAAAGACACAACTAAGAAAGAAAACTACAGACCAATATCCCTGATGAACATCGATGCAAAAATACTCAATAAAATAATGGCAAACCGAATTCAAAAATACATCAGAGAAATCATCCACCATGATCAAGTAGGCTTCATACCTGGATTGCAGGGATGGTTTAACATACGAAAATCTATCAACGTGATCCACCATATAAACAAACTGAAAAAGAAAAACCATATGATTATCTCCCTAGATGCAGAAAAAGCCTTCGATAAAATTCAACACCCTTTCATGATAAAGGTATTAGAGAGGTCAGGGATAACAGGAACATACCTAAACATAATAAGAGCAATATACAGCAAACCAACTGCCAACATCAAACTGAATGGAGAGAAACTTAAGCCAATTCCTCTAAAATCGGGAACAAGACAAGGCTGTCCTCTCTCTCCATATCTCTTCAATATCGTACTAGAAGTTCTAGCTAATGCTATAAGACAACAAAAGGAGATCAAGGGCATCCAAATTGGAAAGGAAGAAGTCAAACTGTCTCTATTTGCAGATGATATGATAGTTTACATAAGCGACCCAATAAACTCTACCAGGGAACTCCTACAGCTGATAAACACCTTCAGCAAACTAGCAGGATACAAGATAAACTCAAAAAAATCAGTAGCCCTATTTTTTTCAGACGACAAAGAGGCAGAGAAAGAAATCAGAGAAACATCACCCTTTACAATAGCCACAAGCAACATAAAGTATCTTGGTGTAACGCTTACCAAACAAGTAAAAGATCTATATAATAAGAACTTTGTGACTCTAAAGAAAGAAATTAAAGAAGATACCAGAAAATGGAAAGACCTCCCATGCTCTTGGATAGGTAGGATAAACATAGTAAAAATGGCAATCTTACCAAAAGCAATCTACAGATTCAATGCAATCCCCATTAAAATCCCACCACAATTCTTCACCGACCTTGAAAGGATAATAATCAACTTTATATGGAAAAACAAAAGACCCAGGATAGCCAAAACAACCCTATACAATAAAAGAACATCAGGAGGCATCACCATTCCTGACTTTAAGCTCTACTACAGAGCTATAGTTCTGAAAACAGCCTGGTATTGGCATAAAAATAGACAGGTAGACCAATGGAATCGAATTGAAAATCCTGATATTAATCCACGCACCTATGAACACCTGATTTTCGACAAAACAGCTAAAATTATACAATGGGTTAAGGACAGCATCTTCAACAAATGGTGCTGGCACAATTGGATGAGGGTGTGTAGAAGACTGCAGATAGACCCATGTCTATCGCCATGCACAAAACTCAAGTCCAAATGGATCAAAGACCTCAACATCAATCCAGCCACATTGAACCTCTTAGAAGAGAAAGTAGGAGGTACCCTTGAACACATGGGTATAGGAGACCGCTTCTTGAACATAACTCCAGGGGCACAGACACTGAAAGAAACAATTAATAAATGGGACCTCTTCAAACTTAGAAGCTTCTGTAAGGCAAAGGACACAGTTGACAAGACCAAACGGCAGCCCACTGACTGGGAAAAGATTTTCACTAATCCTATATCCGACAAAGGGCTGATCTCCAAAATATACAAAGAACTCAAGAAACTAGTCAACAAAACACCAAATAACCCTATTAAAAAATGGGGTACAGAACTGAAGAAAGAATTCTCAATGGAGGAAATCAAAAAGGCTGAAAGACACTTAAGAAAATGCTCCACATCCTTAGCTATCAGGGAAATGCAAATCAAAACAACTTTGAGATACCATCTTACCCCTGCCAGAATGGCTAAAATTAGAAACACCAGTGATGACTTATGTTGGAGAGGATGTGGAGAAAGTGGAACACTCCTCCACTGCTGGTGGGAGTGCAAACTCATATAGCCATTTTGGAGATCAGTATGGCGGTTCCTCAGGAAAATGGGAATTAGTTTACCACAGGACCCGGCAATCCCCCTCTTAGGCATATACCCAAAAGATTCACATCAATGCAACAAAGACATCTGTTCAACTATGTTCATAGCAGCACTATTTGTAATAGCAAGAACCTGGAAGCAACCTAGATGCCCTTCAATTGAAGAATGGTTAATGAAGATGTGGCACATCTACACAATGGAATACTACTCTGCAGAAAAAAATAATGGTATCTTGAAATTCGCAGGCAAGTGGATGGCACTTGAAGAAACCATCCTGAATGAGGTAACCCAGTCACAAAAAGAGGAACACAGTATGTACTCACTCATATATGGATTTTAGACCTAGATCAAATGATCACCAGCCTATAATTCACATCACCAGAGGAACTAGGATACAAGTTGTATTCTAAGAGATTCATATAAAGTCCCTCACAGAACTGGGAAGGGACAAGTCCCCCAGACCTCAGGTATAGTGGGGGAGGACAGCTAATGGAGAGAGAAGTAGGAGAAAATGAGAGGGAGGAGAGGAAGGCATGTGCGACCAGGAGGATTGAGCCTGGTTAGGAATGGAAAATAGGAAAGAGAGAGAGAGACAGAGAGAGAGAACATAAAAGAGGGAGCCAATATTGGTTTGAAGATAAAGTTGAACACAAAGAAAGGTCGAGGGAACTACAAGACTGCTCCCAACTAACAATCTCAGCTTCCGTGGAAAGGCTATCATAAATGCCCTTCCCGGAGAGTGAGATCAACAACTAACTTCTCCATGGAGTCCTCAACTAATGCCTGTTGAAAACAGGAGCAAACACCCATACATAAACACTGAGTCAAACTAGAACCCAGAAGCAGATGGAGAGGACAAGACCATGCGGTAGAAGTACATAGAGACAGCTTACCTGAACAAGGAGGAGCTAAGGGCCACTAGACTGATAGCTGGGAAGCCAACAGGGGTCTGACTCGGACCCCCCTGAATATGGGTCTCAGCCAGAAGGTCTGAGCAGTCTAAGAGACCTCAGACAGTGGAGCCAGGATGTATCCCTGGTGCACAAAAGGACTTTGCAAACATATCCCCCATGGAGGGATAACTGCCTTATTCTAGAGATAGGAGAGAAGCCCTAGTCCCTACTTCACAGGACCTGTCAGATCTACATGACCCCAACTGGATGGCATTCCCCTACATATTGTATTGTGGTGGGGGGTTGGGAGGGGAGGGTGTTTAGAGTGCATGGGAGAGGGTAGAGAGGGCAAAAGGGAGGGAAGGAGGGAGGGAGGGCTTGGGGGGGAGGGAGGGAGGGAGGGAGAGGGAACTGGGATCAACATGTAAAATAATAATAAAAAAAAAAAAAAAAAACGCTTTGACTCCAAAATTTAAGTTGAAGAACAAGTTACTGGGGAAAAGTATTTCTATTTTTGTTTCCACAGAAAATGAAAAGATGTGGATTCCTTCCAGACTAATGTGGTTTGATCACACCAGACCGCCTGAAACAGAGTACAAGCTGATCCTACATTCCAAACAGCTGGACAAAACAGCCCTACAGACTACAGCTAGGATATCTGAATCTTCTTCGAATCCCCCAAGACAGCGCCCCTTACCAGCAGGAAGTAGTTTGGAAAGAACGACGCCCAAATTCCCAAATATTGTGTATAAATGTTTGTTTTCATTTAATTGGACTTTGTTATATAAAATTAAATAAAAAATACTCTATATGCAAAAAAAAAAAAAAAAAAAAAAAAAGAAAAAAAGAAAAGAAAAAGAAATGAGATGCTGCTCCAGCTGCTGTGGCTGCAAAGACAGGGGCGAGTGCCTACCTTGTGATTTAGTGCTCTGAGTTGGACACCAGGAGATGTGTTTATCTGATTATTCTTTATCAGTAAAAATTGGGAGTCAGATATAGCAGTAAGAACCTGAATGATCAGAGAAGTTGCAGAGAAGCCACCAGTGACCACCTATCTTTTAAACCATTCCTCCACCCAAAGGGGCTGAGATCCTCTTTTAGCCCGCCTTTCTACTTCCTATCTCCTGTCTTCTGTCCTCCAAAACCTCTATGGTTAATTTTGGTCAGCTAGTGGCTAACTCCACCCTCCAACTCAAAGCAAGCTTTACTGTCACAATGAGATAAAAATATCACACACTGGCGTAGCCTTTATGTGCAACACTATCCTAGCTGGCAAGCAGTGCTTACATGGCCTGTGCTCATTCCCACGGCTGATCCAAGCCATCATCTTACAATAGAGAGTGCTCTTCTGTGGCATGTGCAGATGCTATCCAAACTCAGTAGTAACTACTTCTGTCTTCGGTTACTTTCTGCTGTAAGTCCCACAAGCAGCAGCTAGAAACAGTGGGTGATTTCCTTTATCTTGGGAATATTTTTTAAATTTCTTAAGTGTATGGACATTTTGTCTACATGTTACATAAGTATGTATGCCACATGTGTGGGTGGTGCCCACATAGATCAGAAAATGTTGTCAAGTTCCCTGGAACTGGGGTCACAGATGCTTTGAGCCACTATAGGGATGCTGGGAACTGTACCTGGGTCCCCTGGAAAAGCAGCCAGTGCTCTTAACCAATGAACCATGTCTCTAGTCCCTCTGCCCCAAAATTTTAAATATTTATTCTTAAGCTTTCTTATGTTTTGTTAAAGGCTTATGTGTGTGTATGCTGTGTGGGGTATGTGAATTGAGTGGGGTTGCACAGGTAGCTAGCTGACAGCCACCCTACCTGGGGTCCTCTTTAAGTACAGGATACTTTAACCATAGAACCATCTCCAGTCCCCTTCAAAACTCAGCCTTTGTCTTTGGACTCAATTTTTTGAATTCCTGAGACAAGAACCTGGTGCTATCTCCTGTGCTGTACACATCTGAAATGAGAAGGTCTGCCATGCACTCAGAAGAACACCATTTGTTCGTTTCTCCATCTTTGGCTCAGGACTCCAGGCTCCTCCTTACAGATCCTCTCCCTTAGATGTCTGCTGGAGTCTTCCTGCAGGAGATGACTCCCTTTCAGGTGGCTAGACCATCTAGGGCAGTGGTTCTCAACCTGGGGGGTGGGGGTCATGATCCCTTTGGGGCCTTGCCCTCAGCACTCACATATCTAGGAGTTTCTGTGGGATGAAGAGCACTGGACAAATTATTGTTCAACTTCTAGTATAAAATCTGTTTAAAAAGAAATTTACTTTCCAAGAGGTGTTTATTGATGGCAAAGGAAAGTAGACTAGAAGGCCACCAAGGGGAGAGTGTAGGAAGGCCAGGCCACAAAGCTGGCTGCCATTCATGCCATTCCTGCCTATTCACTTCTTCTTCTTCTTCTTCTTTTCTTTTTTCTCCTTCTTCTTCTTTTCCTTTTTCTCCTTCTTTTTCTTCTCTTTTTCTTCCTTCTCCTTCTCTTCTTTCTCCTTCTGTAACCTTGCCTCCTCTTCCTCTTTGGCAGCTTCCAGCATGGCTTGAAGCTTTGGGTCTGGCATCCTGCCGTCCTTGTCTGGAGCAAGCAGAGCTAGCTTTCTGAGCTTCTTGCCTTTGAGGTGTCTCCTTTGAAGACATAGGTCGACAATAGAAAAAAATGCAGCAACTCCCATAAGGATCTAGGAAAACAAGTGGATCTTCATTATTTTGATTATTAACACAGAAGGAAAGTACAGATTCCCTCCTTGGTCTATCATCACAGTTGAGGCACCGTGCACCCCTAAAGGCCTCAATCCCAGAGCCTCCATCACACTGCTCTCCCAGGCTTCATGCCCAGTGTCCCCTCAGCTTGTTTCTTTTTCCTTTCTTTTGACATTCATAAGGATCACAGGTAACTTGGCTGCCTTCCTAGACACCATCTTTAAAAATGTGTCTTCTTCACTAGAAACATTTACCAGCTTCTTAGATTTGTTTTCACACCAAGTTTTCTTTGTTTGTCTCATGTACCCCAGGCTAGCCTTGAACTATTGAGCCAAGGATGAATTTTGGACTTTAGATCCTCTGTTTCTACCTCCTGAGTGCCACCATTATAGGTAGGCATGTGGCACTAAGGAAGGTTTTTACAGTGCCATAGATCAGGCTAGACCAGCCCTCCAGAGACTCAGCTGCAACCCAGGCCCTGACCCTAGGATTCATGTGGCAGTGATTTGAGGAAATCCATAGCTTAGCAGAAAAACCTCACCATAGCTGATACGTAGGCTATTGGCATCGTATTTCTAGCCTTTGCAGCAAAGATTATGCCGCCTACCAGGAACACAAAGGAGAAGAAGTCATTGAAGAATTCCTGAAAGTGGAAGAGATAAGCTGGTCTTAGATAGCTGTGCCTCATCCACCCCAAACACAACACAGTTTCCTCCATGAAACCATGTTCAACCCCCATCCCCCACCCCAATGATTTAAAACAAAATGTACAAAGTCAAATATGTTTCTGGCCAAGCAGAACAATCAGTGCCTCCCTGCTGGCCTCTGTGAGTGTAGAACACAGTCCAAACTTAACTGCTGTTAGCACAGGCAAGACAGAAGATACCATCTGGCTTACAAAACCAGGTATCTGGTGCCTATCAGTATTCATGTAAATAAATGCAGAAACTGACTACTTCATGGCATCTCTGTTAGTTAATTCCCCTCATCATTTCTGTGCTCTCCTCTCTGGAGTTTCCATCAGCAGAATTGCAGGTAGGAGGTTCTTGCTCTCTGACTTCACATTGGGAGCCTTGCAGCTCCCTTCTTCACCCGAACCCTGCCTTTCCCCTGTACCTCCTTCCCTGATTGCTTCCTCCTTCATCAATGTTTTTCTTTTCAGTCCTTGGGGATTTGGTCTTCCTTTACCACATACAAGCTTTCTTCCCCCAACACAGCATAAAAGCAACCAAAATTCTATGTTTTTATGTCCATTGTCCCATTTTCTATTACTTGTTTTTTTCCTTAGAATGTCTAAATTTTAAATTGTTTTTAATTTTAGTGGGATGTACACTTTCTTCTGCCAATAACCCTATGTACTCTCATTTAACTTTCTGCCCAACTGTGTTAGGAAAAGAGTTTTGTTTACTTTTCTTTTATGTGTTTGAGTGTGTTGCCTGCACGTATGTAATCATAACAAATGTGTGTTGCTTTATAATACCATAGATGGCATTGGAATCCCTGGAACTAGAGCTGCAACAGCTTGTGGGCTGCTTGGATGTTGGGAAACCAACCTGGGTCCTCTACAAGAGCAGCCAACACTCCAGCTGCTGTCCCAGGGCTTTCAATGCTACCTCTGTCTTAAATAAGACACAGTATGTATATAAGTCTGGATTCTCTGATCTCCTCCTACTTTAACACATCATTATAAAATAGGCTGGGTGGCTTGAACAACAGATGCTTATCCTTTCACAGTGTGGGGGCTGCAAGACCAAGAAAAAGCACTCTCGCTGGCTGTAGACACCTGCCCTTCCCTCTCTATCTTCATATGACCTTTCATTGGAGACACATCACATAACCTGTGTCTTCCTGTAATGCTACTAATGGTTTTGGATCATGATCCCAACCTTAAGTTTTCTATTTATTCTTAGTTGCTTCCTCAAAGGCCCCATGCCAGGACATGAATCCATAGAGAACACAAACATTCCATTTGTAACAATTCCATTAGTTAATCCATGATCTAGCACCAAAGCTTCGGGTAAATCTGGTATCTGATTGGGCAAATCCATTCTTGTAGTCATTTTCATTTTTCCAAAGAAATTTTATTTGTAATGTTTTTATTAGCTCATGTTTTTTTTAATTTAGTAATTTATTTATATTTATTTTATTTGCTTTGGTGTTTTTCCTGCATGCATGGCTGAGTGAGAGTGAGTGTCAGATCTTAGAGTCACTGACTGTTGTTAGCTGCCATGTAGGTGCTGGGAATTGAACCTGGGTCCTCTGGAAGAACATTCAATGCTCTTAACCACTGAGTCTTCTCTCCAGCCTCCTCATTATATTTTAATACATGTAAATAAAGTGATCAATTACATTATCCCCCTCTCCCTGTCACCTTCTCTTTGTCTCTCTTTGCACTCTTGAGGTGTGTGTGTGTCCCAGTAATTTTCACTGTGGTCATTTTGGAGAACATAGTGAGGATTTGTATACAGAAGCACAGGCACCTTACCAGTGGCTGCACTACTGAAGAAAAAAATCTCTCTCCTTTCTGCATCAGTCTTTGACTACATATAAATCTTTGGTCAGAGGACATGAGCCTCTGCACCTTCCAGGAAGGGAGCTAATTAGCCAAATCTTTATGTCATCACAGCTGTTGCAAGTTCAAGAGTGTAACAGCCACTTCAATCATGTATAGAAGCCAGAGATCACCTATTGGAGAATATTTCCTGAGCCTTGGCAAGGGAGATGTATGATATGCTTCTTGTGTCTGAGTGTCCAACAGTCACTTATTCTCAGTGCTTTGATTGGTTACACAGTCTTTGCAGTCGCTACTGACCAAAGAGTTTTATATCACCTCATAAAGTTCCACAGAAAGTCCTGTTCCTCTGCAGTGACATTTGTAGATTCAGAACTCAGTTCTGAATTGAACTGCCATCTCTATGTGGTAATATTATACCTAGGAATACAGCAAGTATTCATTTAGGGTTTCCTTTCATGTCTGTTAACCAGTTTAACTTGTCTTTCAGAAGGTTTATTTTTAGACACCTGGTAGTCTCCACATTGTTCTAAGGTCACATTTTCTCACTGATCTCTGCTGCCATGGGGGAGCACTGTAGTCTCTGGGAACCTTAATCACTCATAGTGTTATGGTGGCTGCAGAGTCTTCTGTGTTTTCTGTGAGGAGGCTCATGTTACATAGGAGCAATCCTTGTTTCACCATCCCAATCTGTACACACCTGGGTTTTCTTGTCACATTTTACTCAGATTTTAGCTTAAAAGATGCAAGAAAGGGCTGGAGAGATGTCTCAGAAGTTAATAGCACTGGCTGCTTTTCCAGAGGTCCTGAGTTCAATTCCCAAAAACCACATGGTGGCTCACAGCCATCTGCAAAGAGATCTGGTGCCCTCTTTTGGCATGCAGGAAGACCAGTTATACATGATCAATAAACAAATCTTTTTAAAAAGATGAAGGAATTAGCAGGATTTCTAAATAAAGATTTTGCCAAAAAAAAAATGCAATGTTTGTTGAAGATTTGGGTAGATACCTCTTGTTGAGACTGAATGCGTCCTTTATGCCTGTTTCTTAATTTTTTAAAATGAGTGTTGATCATTACCAAATAGTTTTTCTGCAAACTACAATATTCTTTTTTTTGTAAATCTGTATTAATAGAATTTAAAGACAAAAACATGTTTGTGTTCCTGACATAGATGCTGCTTCACTGTGATACATTGCTTTTAATACATTGCCTGATTTGGTGTGCTAATATTTTATTGAGCATTTTAGTCTTTATTTTCTTCTTCCTCTTCCTCTTCCTCTTCCTCTTCCTCCTCCTCCTCCTCCTCCTCCTCCTCCTCCTCCTCCTCCTCCTCTTCTTCTTCTTCTTCTTCTTCTTTGGTTTTCGAGACAGGGTTTCTCCGTGTGTAACTCTGGCTGTCCTGGAGCTTATTCTATAGATCAAGCTGGCCTCGAACTCACAGAGATCTTCCTCCCTCTGCCTCCCAAGTGCTGGGATTAATTGCATACACTATTATAGCCTGGCATAGTCCATATTTTCATACTAAGGAAGTCCTATGTTTATTCTTTGTTTTTGTAAATTTTCTTCATGACAGAATTTGTCTGTGTACCCCTGACAGTCATGGAAAACTGTGTAGAGACAGCTAGGATCAAACTCATAAAGATGCACCTGCCTCTGTCTCCTGACTGCTAGGATGAAAGGCATGTGCCACTACTACCCACATTTATTGTTACTATTATTATCGTTGGTTTTCAATACAGGGTTTCTCTGTATTGCTTTGGAGGTTGTCCTGGAACTTGCTTTGTAGACCTGGATGACCTTGAACTCACAGAGATCCTCCTGCCTCTGCTTCCTGAGTGCTGGGATTAAAGGCATGAGCCACCAACACCCAGCCCCACATTTATACTTACTCTCACAACTGATTTCAAGATGGAATCCCTATCAGAAAGTATTATACATCCTTAAAAAGACAGAAAAGGGAAAATGAGAGTAGTGTAATGGAATGTAAAGACTAGAAATGAATTTTACATATGGGATATTTTTTACAATTGACAACGAAAATGCCCATTCAAATGAGTGTAAAAAATGTACTAATCCACTGTTTAAAATAGCCACAAACAACATAACATATCTTGGGGTAATGCTAACCAAAAAAATGAAAGACCTATATAGCAAGAACTTTGCATCTTTAAAGAAAGAAATTAAAGAAGATACCAGAAAATGGGAAGATTTCCCATGCTTTTGGATAAGTAGAATATACATAGTAAAAATGGCAATCTTTCCAAAAGCAATCTACAGACTCAATGCTATCCCCATCAAAATCCCAGCATAATTCTTCACTGACTTTGAGAGGATAATACTCAACTTTGTATGGAAAAACAAAAGACCCAGGATAGCCAAAACAACCCTATACAATAAAGGAACTTCTGGAGGTATCACCAACCCCTTTCTTCATGCTCTACTATGGAGCTATAGTCCTGAAAACAGGTTGGTAGTGGCATAAAAATAGACAGGAAGACCACTGGAATCTATTGCGGTAAATAAGGATCAGGATAAACAAATAGGCCGAATAGATGTTTATTCAGGGAGAAATAACTTACAACCTAGACAGATGAACACCAGGAAATTTAACCCGATCCTCTCCTGTCCGAGTCACGCCAGAAAAAGAGCGCCTTCCTGGCCCCCTCCGACCTCCTTTCTCAGGTCACCTCCGCCCATCGCTCCACCCCCAATGGGCGTGGTCAGTGCTACAGAAGGACTACCTCACTACAATTCCCCTTTTAGTCTAAAGAAAAGATTTAGGTTTAATACAAAACTATATACAAAACAGTGAATAACAAGTGTGTTCTAAGAAAAGGAAAATCGAGAACAAAATGACCTACATATCTAGTCCTAGGGTGAGGGCATAATGGAGTTTACAATAGAGTTGTCCTAAGCTGGAAAACGTAAGTCTAGTACCTAATATATCTAACTAGGAAGAGAGAATAATAGTTGTGATAGTTTAATCTTTAACCTCATCAAGACCTGAGAAGGAAATTAACAATACTAGAGTAGACAGGAAATGCGGATGGACAACTTCCAAAAGGTGCAGCAAGGACAGAAACAGCAAGCCACCTGAACAGTCACCCTAGGTCTCATAGCGACGTTGGTAC